TATCGAAAAATACATGACTGATTTTTTTCCCGCAGTAGGTTGCCATTTCTTTCTGCGGTAGACGATCCAAGCCTATTTGGGGGATGGGGGGAGAAGAAGAAGAGGATTCATACATTTGCCAAGGGTATTAGCACGTAAGTGAATGTAATGGATTCGACTGGAATTCGAACTCGGTTCTCCAATTCCTCAATCCGAATCGCTATCCATTACTCCACCATGTGCTCATCTTCTATTACTTTATCCTTATCTGAAGAACTTCTCTGTCAAGATCTTCTTCCATCACATCTTCCTCTTCAATTCTGAGTCTTAACTGGCCAGAATGAACCATTAGGTTTTTTTTTTACCTTTCTTTGATATAATGGTTGTGTTATATCCCCTTTGCATGAGGAAATTAGCTCTCGCAACACTTGCTACTTTGTCTTTCTTATAGCGCATCTTTTCATTTGTCGAGTAAGACATTGTTAACGGAGACCTTATTTGTCTTCGCATTAACGCAGATGGGCTTTACAATCTGCATGTGGAATTGTCCTATAACTAAGCAGTAACTTTGGTAAGTAACCATCTATAGAATCTCTACTTGGGGGAAAATATTTTTAATCCCATTTTTTACTCTTTGCAACCATTCTTTCCACAATCCTGGAATGTGATACGGTAGTGTTTTGTAAGGAAAGCAACCAATTCACCTCCAGTCAATTACATAAATCTTCATCACGAATTTCTGATGCGTTACTTGCTACCAATGTTTTATGAACCTCATTTCTAGAAAATGCCACTCTTAATATTTGCTTTATTGTAGTCGTTTTTCTATCTTTAACTTTAACGACTTCAGGCTATCCAGAAAAGGAGTCAACTAAAATTAGAAATAGTCCCACGTCATTAATGTCTGCTGATTCATATAAACACGAAACCATGAATCCGTTTCTTTAGGCCAAGAGTGTATTCACCTTTGTCAAAAATTCATTATTTCTGCACATTTGGGGTATTTATGAACATATATCGCGATAATACCCCGGCTACCATGTCTCCAATTTTAATTTCCTCTGTGTAACCGTTATCCCACAGTGCATATCATAATGTACACTTTTTTAAAAATATCTTCTTACCGTTTCGGGTGACACTATCGCATCTTCATCGCTGCCAATCTTTCTAGATATAATATATCAGTTTCAACCCAATGTAATATTTCTTCATTAGGATTTCCATTTTTCTTTTTGATCCTTATTAAATTGTAACCTTCACAGCGCATCAACATGTGGTATTGTATTTCCTTTTGCTTACTCAATGCCAAAATCATGCCATTAATTTTATTTTCCACCTTAAAATTCTCGAAGAAGTAATTTTTGGTAGCTCCGTTCTAGAGTTAAAAACAAACTCTAGACGTTTATGATTCGAATAGGAACTTCTTACCTAATAAAAAATTTCGAGCTCTGTCTGTGTTCCAGACAATGACCAATGCCTTTTTTTTTCAATATTTGTAACGTAACCTACTTTATGGAATCAAAGATTTTTACAATGGTTTTTTCCTGCGAGTATTTTTAAATCCTCAAACTCTAAGCTTTGCCTTTACGTCAATTTAAACTCATTATTTTTTTACGCAGTTCAACAAATGATTCTATTAAGTCGCTGTATTTTGGTAGTTATCTATTATAAAAATTAACCAATCCTAAAAAGGATTCTAATTATTTTTTATTACAAGGTACAGAAACCACTAAGATTTTCTTAATTAACTTTGGATCTGGTGCAATTCCATCTTTTAAAATTTGGTACCCTATATATGATATTGTATCACAATCAGATTCACATTTGTCACTCTTTATTGTCATCCCCTCATTTTTTTAACTTGTTTAACACATGATTTTTTTTTTTGTTTTGATTCATCTTTAGTGGTGGCACCAAGGCAAATATCATCTTGATAAATAATCATATCATTAATTTCATTACTTAAGACGTTTTCCATTGCTCTCTGAAAAATGGCATTTGCCGTTTTCAATCCAAAGGGCATTCTCGTGCATCTTAATAACCTTATGGGGGGCGTTTATTGTGGTGATTTCCTTAAATTTATCATCAATCTGTATTTGATTATAGACAGATTTTAAATCAATTTTTGAAAAAGTTTTCATGCCCGATAATTTGTTGGTATTGGATATAGAAAACGAGTATATTTCCTGATTTACGCCTATTTTATAATCATGACATATTCTTAAGTCTCCATCTACTTTTCGCAAAACTACAATGGGGGGGCATTTACTGATGCTTGGAGGAAAATGCTCCAAAATTCTGTCTTCCCCCTTTAGAACATTTATACCTACTAATCCATTAATGTTTTTACATCCCCCTAATGATATGGGAATAATTTCAAATTGGTTGCAGGTTTCAAAAGTTCCACTGAATTATCCCAAAGATCTTATAAAAGATCCACAAAATTGTCTAAATTTTAGATGGCGTTTTTCAACTTCGGTTTTACCCAATTATTCCCAGAAATTTCTTGGGATCAGAGTGATCTCACTCTCCGTATCTACTTGCATTGAAAAAGTCATGACATTTAATTTAATTTTTTTCAAAATAATTCTTTTCCTTAGGTCTTTGTATTGAAAAATGAATTCTATCTTTTTCCAATTTTTTTTATATTATTTTCTTTTTAATTTCCATACAAACGGAAAATGATTTTTTTCTTCCGCAGTTCTGGCAAATCTTTCCAAAAGTGGGGCATTTTTTTTCTGCCAATCTCATGTTCATAGTTACAGTATTTGCATTCCTTGCGTTCCTTTTTATACTGTAGGCTCCATCTTTGGCCACAGTAAAATTATATTGTTTAATCAATTCCAGCTGTTGTATTATTTCCACACATGCAGTTAACGACAAATTATTCAATTGTATTTTTCCAGTATCTTATATTTATGAAATGTATCTGCTACACTTTAAATCAACTGTAACTGAATCAATTTATCCTTTATAGTCATTATTTTGAGTTCTCAGTTCTTCAAATTCGGAGAATCTGCTCGTTACTCTTAATCTGTAAAGATATTGCATAATTGATTTATCTTGTTTCTGTTTAATGGACAGAAATTTGGTTCTTTCGGTTATAACAAGTGTCTTTTTAGGTTGTAAAACTCCTTTTTATAATTTCTGAAAATTCTCCAATTGTTGGGGTATGCCATAAGAGAAATTTTCATCATAGATTCACAACCTGCCGAAGCTAGAAAGAAGTCGGTTATTTCATTTTCTCCCCTTCTTGCCTTGTTGTCTTTCAATTTTTTAGCCCTAGCCTGGGTTGCAAAACACCGGATCCAAGTCTCCATAAATTCTGGTTCATCCAACTTACATAAACATTCTATCGGCGATGCCATATTGTTGTATAGTGTTGTTCTACGACACATGATCTGTAGTTAACTTCTACTTGTATGACTCTACACTTTATTTCTCTTATAAGCAACATATGCAAATAGGTAAAATCCTATTTACCAATCCCACTACATAAGTACTATTTAACTTCAGCAATACAATACTGTTCTTCTTAAGTGGTCTCTGATCCCAAAACTAGCCAGCTTCAACAATACATGCAAGGCTTTTTCAAAACGGTCACCTATCCAAGTACTGCTAAGTTTCAGTTATATCTAGCGTTCATTTCTTGTACTTACCTAGTTACTTATCTTCTAATATTTAATCTTGGCGATGAAATGGGAACCAGAGTAAGAAGCAATCGCAATTTGTTCATCTTTAGTTATCTATCAAACAAATAAGTAAACTTAACTTCAATTAGGTTTGACAAAATTCGCGATGTCCTTGCGTCATTCTATACGACCGTAGGTAAAATTCATTGCTTGCCAATGTTTTGTTCAAATAATGTCAAAAGTTTTACTTTTATTTGCACTATTTGCTTTTATTTGACGAATTCCGCTTTCCTGCTAACCAATAAAATATACACCCACGGTTGTTTGTGATTTTAATGCCTTAGATTGGGTGTGTAAAGAAAGAAATACAAATCTGTTAATGAAAATAAATTTTCAAGGTACTTGTATATTTTACTTTTTTCTCGCGACTAGTAAAAACATGTAGAGGTAGATAAGATCGATAAAAAGTGATCTGAGCTGCATTGTGGTTAATGAGTGAAGAATTTCCAATGGAATTGCGACTCTATAATCAGTAAACATCCATTGATATCAAAAGAAATGTGAGTGCATGTTTGTTCTTTTCGATTCGGTAAAGTCCTTTTTTATTTTAAAACAAATGAAAATAATGTTTTGGTTTTGAAAATGGTTCGTCGGTCGTCATTTGAGGGCATAAACAGTTGTATTCAGTTTGTTGTTATTATAACGGGAGATAAGCCATAGAAAGAGAGTATATCAAATCGGCAGGAATTGCATAAATGCAATTAAAAATGAGTTAGGGCAAGTTAAAAAAGAAAAAAGAAATAAACAGGATAAGAAAAAATAAACAGGATAAAAGAAATAATAAAACAATGCATAAAACACATAAAAATAAATAATAAAATAAAATCAATAAACAGTTAAGTAACAAAAATATAAAAAGCTATTTTTGTCCGACTATATAATGAGTAAGATGCAATTTTATTTTAGAAAAAAACTGTTGAGTAACATTTAAATATGGTTAAACATAAAAATATAAAAAACTGATAATATTGATGGAAGTTGTAAATGCATTTATAACACATACATTTCTTTATCAAAGTACATTTAAATTATTTAAAGCTTATGGACTTATGATTATTTTATGTTGAAACATCGGTTCTCGTACAATCAGCGAAGTTAAGCAACGTCGAGCCTGGTCAGTACCTTAAATGAGTGATCGCTTCAAAATACCAGGGGGCTATAAGCTTGTGAGGATGGTGTAATGGACAACAGCACGGAAATGGAAATCGGGGAGAGCCGTGTTCCAGTCGGCTTCGTTATACACACTGACGTACAAATACCCTTGGGAAAGGTATCAATCCACCACTTCTATAAGAACCCGGATGAAACTCCGATCCCTAATTCCAAGTTTACCGCGCCCGGTATTCCCAATCGGTCACCCATCTCGGTACTGACAAGACTCAACATTGCTTAACTTCGGTGTTCGTACGAGAACCGGTTTTCAACATGAATCTACCGCTTCTCCCCACTGGAACTGGTCTCATTAAATCATTATTAAAACCAAAATATTCTTAGAATCTAAAAATATTTTGGATATTTAAACCTGCGAAAAGATTGATAAGATATATATAAAAAAAAAAATCAATCAATCAATTGTATTATAGCGATGATTATTTTTATTTTAGTTCACCCAATACAAGGCCCAAGGGCCACTCAAGGTAGAGGGTTACTTACTGAGGAAGCAGGAAGTGCGTATTATGAGGATAAGTAGGATAGGTATCGGTTGACTCTGGAATTGAAGAGGTTATGATTTTTGTGGTCAGGGAAGCATCCTCTTGGGAGCTTGTCCCACAAAGTAACAGTTCTGGGAAATAAGCGACACAAAGAGAATGGAGGTGATTTGATGCCATGAACATGGCTGTAAAAGTCTGAACTGGTGGAACTAAGAACATCTGCCATAGAAACTGCGGTAGAGTTGTGAGAGGCTAGCAATGTTTCGTCTGTGGAATAAAGGTTGGAATATAATTCATCACCCGCAAGACTGCATAAATATTTTTGAACCTTTGAAAAGCTGAACAGTGAAGACCCGGCAGCACCAGCCCAGTTATGGCAGCTATACTCCCTTCTTGATCTAATCTGACACTTATGAAACTAAAGCATAAAAACAAGAGGGATTATATGAGAATTGAGTTTAGGCTTGCTTAGTAAAAAAAAGAAACGGCAAAGGAACACATCCAGATAAAACTTTGTTTTACTTTCTATAATAAAATTTTTAAGAATTTTCTTTTCTTAAATTTAATAAACATATTCTATGTCTATTAAATTTAGCCTCATCCTTATCTTTAAAAGAACAACTGCCTATATGTGCGTGTGTGTGTATGTGTGTGCATGTAACAGGATATTATATATATATATGCTATATATGTGTGTGCGCGTGTGTGTGGGTCTGTGTGTATGTAACAGGATATTATATATATATATGCTATATATATGTGTGTGTCTGTGCGTGTGTGTGTATGTAACAGGATATTATATATATATATGCTATATATATATGTGTGTGTGTATGTAACAGGATATTATATATATATATGCTATATATATATATCAACGTTTGTGTGTGTGTGTATGTAACAGGATATTATATATATATATATATATATATATATATATATATATATATATATGTGTGTGTGTGTGTGTGTGTGTGTGTGTGTGTGTGTGTGCGTGTATGTAACAGGATATTATATATATATGCTATATATATATGTAACAGGATATTATATATATATATGCTATATATATGTGTGCGTGTGTATGTAACAGGATATTATATATATATATATATATATATATGTATGTGTGTGTGTGCTTGCGTGTGTGTGCGTGTATCTTCAACAAATATATGTATTTTACACACATATATCTTGTGCATATATTTTAATGATTCTCTTTCTTTCGCGCTCTCTCTCTCTCTTTCGCGCTCTATCTCCCCATATATATATAATATATATATGTGTGCGTGTGTATGTGTGTGTGGTTGAACGCGCTTTTACAATAGGAGACGGCATTTTGATACTTTTATAAAATAGTTAAATTACGTCACAGTGGAGTAATGGATAGCGGCTCGGATTCAGGAATCGAAAGACGAGTTCGAATTCCAGCCAAATCCGTTACTTTCACTTACATGCTAATACTCTTGAGAAAGGTATGAATCAATCTCTTCCCCCCAGCTATGGGTAAATAGCAGAACAGACCTGGTTCTATAGCCTTGGACGCTAACTGATCTACCGTAGAAAGAAATGGCAATCTACTGCAGGAATAAAATCTGCCTTGTCAGTCATGTATAGAAAGATATATGATCGCCTAACCGTGTATCATGCATGACACATAACTGACTGAATGGTGTTGTCAAGCGCTTTGAAAATGTTTCTATGACTTCTTTTATATGATACACGTATATTTTAATTTGAAATGTAGCGTTCCTAAAGATGCGAATGTGAAACTAACGAAACATTTCTCCATTTTATTAATAACATCAACGTTTCTGATACTGACCAGAGAAGGTGGAATGTTTTTGAAAACAAACATGAATTTTAGACGGTTTCTTCACAATTTGTATCTGGATGGTCAACGACTTATTCGTAAATTGTGAAAATATTAAAAGAAAAAAACTTAATCACACAGACTTTATCGGTTGAATTTAATAAAAATTATTTGATTGAATTTTTTCTTCCTAAATATACATTATACACACATGCACACACACACGTACACATGCATACATACATGTATATATATATAGGCACGGTGGAGTAATGGATAGCGGCTTAGATTGAGGAATCGCAGTCGAATCAATTACATTCACTTACGTGCTAATACCCTTGGGAAAGGTGTAAATCCTCTTCTCTCTCCAGCTATGGGTAAATAGCAGGACAGACTGGGTCCTTGGATGGCAACTGGTCTGAAAAAGGACAACTCTGAATTCAAAACCTGCGGAGGGTCGTTTGGGGACCTTGTGGCACTTAGTCCACCAGGTCTTTGTATTCAGCCCTTCAAAAAGTGTGGCTGGTCCTGCACGAAATCAAATCTCATGTGCTGTTGTCGGGCTGTCAGTTTCCTGAACTGATCTGCTTGACCCTCATACGTCGAATTCGACGGGAAAGTCGACTATATATTTTAAGAGTGAATACCCACTTAGATATAAAATAGTAGTTATAAAACCTTCCTCATGAGGACTCATGTTAATTCATCCTCTCGTCTCTTTCTCCTTAAATAACTCAACAATGTGGAACAGACGCTAGTTAACGATGGTTTCCCTAACTACCTCATCGATCACCAGATAAGACTCTTTCTTCCTAAAATAACTAATAGCAATACTGAACATACAGATAATAACAATAGCATTAACATCTTCTATAAATGCCAAGTACATGTTAATACGAATTTTCTCTTGCAAATATAAAGAAATAAAAAAGCACCAGTCGATCAGAACTAGGAAATTAAATTATCTACTTCAAAAAATTTAAAATAGCTAACCTTATCATAAAAAATAACAACACACCTGCAAAATCTAAACTAAAGAGTACAAATATTATTTACGAGTGCACATACCCCTTAAGGAACAGTTCTTGATCAAACCAAATTCATAAATAATTACATACTACTACATGCCTATCTAGACGACTTACGTTGCATTTACCCGACAATATCTCAATTAGGACTCGTTTAGACACACATGGAAACCTAACAAATTCCACCCGCAATATACTATTAGAAAATATCTTCATCTACACATAAAAAAGTATAAAAATAATGGAAGCACTAATAATAAAAAGATTGCTGCCCAAAAACACAATATATATATATATATATATATATATATATATATATATTATCAATTTAAACGTTATTTTAGTGAATAATCGTGTTAATTAGATTCTCTGATTTTATATATATATATATATATATATATATATATATATATATATATATATATATATATATATTATTACTATTATTATTATTAAAATATGATTCCATCGCTACACAGGAATTACCATGTTTCAAGAACAGAAGCTAAAAACTTCCAATTCAATTATAGAAATTAAATTAAAGTACATAGTTCTGTTTCTTTTTCAAGCGAATTAGGCTCTACTTGTGTATCGAGCACAGTTTTTAAAAATGAAACAAAAATACTAAAGAACTTCGGATCCTCAATCTAACGGTTCTTTCCTATTTTATCAATATATTTGCACGCACGCACGCACACACACACACATATATATATAAATGTACATTGAAGTCAACACTATATATTTATATATATATATATATATATATATATAGAGAGAGAGAGAGAGAGGGAGAGAGAGAGAGAGACAATAATAAACATATATTCATAAAAGTCAATGTGAATTGAATTTACAACATATATTCATAAAAGTCAATGTGAATTGAATTTACAAGTAAAACAGGAAATTGAGAAATGTTATTTAACATTAGTGACATTTTACGTGGAGATTAGTTGACGTCAATTTTATTATTTCGAATCCTAACAGATTAAGAATACGCAATACACATCAATTCAAGAAAGTTTGAACCTGAAAAAGAAAATGGCACGAAGAAAAAGCTGTTTATTTTTTCAAAAGGTACGAAATGTTCTTTTTATTCGTTCCACTTTTTAGCATTTTTGTGTCGTAGTCAACTAAGCTTTTATTTTATGTTTATCTAGTTATCTATGTATCCATTTATATATATATATATATATATGTGTGTGTGTGTGTGTGTGTGTGTGTGTGTGTGTGTGTGTGTGTGTGTGTGTGTGTGTGTGTGTGTGTGCGTGCGTGTAAAGACAAAAGAACCTAAGAAAAAAGAAATAGGTGGGGAAAACTAATAAAGTGAAAATACAAACAAAACCTATAAAAATATTTTCCGAATAGATAAAAAAAAAAAAAACTATCAAACAAGTTGTTTTGTTTGTTCGTTATTTTATTTTACCATTATATCAAATTTAGTTTAGTTTAGTTGGAACATATAAAAGACACCCGTATAGCCACTGGGGACATTTTTTTTTATCATTGATAAGGTCCTTTCTGTTTGATCAGTGGTGGAAGAATAGAATTGACGAAACCTTCAACCGACTGAATTTAGTTACCAAAGAATCAGTTTCGTCTTCAAAACCTTCAAATCTCAAACTATTAAGCCGAAAGGTAAGCTTCTTTGTGATTTCTTAGAACAGATCGGCAAATTTAAGGAAATCTTTCTAACAAATGAACATATAATATTTTTTTGTTTATCTAAGTGCGAAATGGTTGTTTATAGTTGTAAATTCTTAGCGAATATTTTCGTAGATATATGAATCTTAAATTATCCATATTCTTTTAAAAAAATGGTTATTGCCATTATTGTAACGAGTTTTTAATTTTTCATGTTAGTTTTATATTTTACTGCTAATATGCGCATATTTTTTAGAATATAGTAATTTTGTGAGCATAGGTT